GGGGCAGTGCCGTCCCTCACCTCCGTGCCAGGCTCTTTACAATGAACCTTTGAAAAAGGGGCTTTTTGCAAGACTGACTTGATTTCAGGAAATGTCATTTTGGCTGCCGTGTCACCAGTCCTTTCCCACCGTACTTAATTTCATTTGCTGATAAATTCTGTGAGCACTCAGAACGCTGCCAGGGTAGAAATGTGGGTGAAATTCCCTGACAATGAGAAGCCCATCCTGAATGGGCAGGGAAGTTTAGGTTGTTGAAGGTCATGACCTGAACCCTGACTTTCTGCAGCATTTAGAACCATACAATCAGTATCATCAGGCGAGGGGTCGACACAGGTTGGAGAGTTTAGTGACTGCTGGTGGTTATGCTGTTCTCATAATTCTCCAGAAAGGTCCTCCAGACTATAGTTTGTAGAAAATGAGACTAAATTCAAAATCAGTGGAGACTTTGTCCCTGACATAACAGCAGAAACCATCAAATGTGTCCTTCAATGTATTCTACTCTTGGACACAAAGACTCTGGAAAACCACTGGAGCTGTGACCATATTTTCACCTTCATGTGCTTCTTCTCACCAGCAATATTAATCTATGGAAACTTTGAACCTCTGGCTTCCCCATTGAATATGCCCTGGCTTCTAAGTGCTCTTTTGGGGCCAGGAATCAAACCTATGTTGATTTCTATGTTCAAGATTTACAGGTTTGGGGCTTTGAATAAACTCTCTAAGTATCATTTTCCTCAAGCACAAATTAAGAGGATGAGTTACTATTTTATCTATAAGATTCCTTATAAGTCAGATATACAATAAGTTTATGATTATCACTTCTTATAGACATGGTGATAAAATGACAAATGGACTTGTGTGTTTACCCTTTCTCTCTCTCTCTCTCACACACACACACATACACACATGCATACAGATGCACACACACGTGCACACACACACACAAATCCCTCAGCAACTACTGGAGGGGTAGAATTTTTGCAGAAAGGGTTCCAACCAGGAATCCCACACCTGCTTAGTAAGGCCCATTTCTACCTGGCTGACCTTGGCATGATACAGATTTCAGGTCTTTCCCCTGTCTCGGGCCTTTTTCACATCTTACTCTGACGTTTTACTGCTTATTTATGGTAATTTTACATTTTTCTAAACCTTATCTTTTTGTCCTTACCCATTTACTTTACAAAAAAAGGGAAAACAGCTGTAGTCTGAACGTCCAGCACATGTTAATAGGAAGGGATTTGCTGAGATTGGGAGATATTCAGCTCACTTCCAACACAGTTATTCTCTAATTACTTATTGAATAAAAACATGAATAAATGAATGCATTCTCCCATTGGAGCAGGCTTCAAGCACTGATCACCTCCCAGAGAGGAGATCAATTTAGATTTTCCCTTCTTTGCCGCAGGCTTTCAGCCATGATCGTTCACACTCCATCACCAGGTACTGTAGGGTGATAGATGGATGGTGCCTGTTCCCTGGTGTGGGAGCTACTTACAACTCTGCTCCTGGAGACTCTGTCCCCTGGCATGCCTGCCTGCACCCCTTATGAGGGCTGCAGAGCCCAGATATATAATGGACTCAGAACTAATAATGCACTAGAATACAGTCCCACGCAGAGGGATGAGCACAGGAATTTTCACTAGGTAGCCATGTGTGACATACACCTTCATAAGTGCACACCATGCTTAGCCCTGGGGAAACGCCTACACATTCCCCAAAACTGCAAATCACACCACTCTCATTTTGTCTCAGGACACTGTGTGTGTCCAGAACTGTTAACATATTTTAAATTCAGGAGAGCAATTCACAAGAGCTCCATGGAAATACATTAGCAGCTTTTCAGCAAGCTTATTATAGTGTCAAACAGCACTGCTTTAACAATCCTGAAAATTGGCCTCTGTGCACTAAAAGCTCAATGTTCCCAAAGCTGGATAAGGGATAGAAAAGAGAAAACTATGGGGCAGTTTTTAGTTTGTTAATCAATTACAAACTAAAGAGAAAGGGGTGTGCTTTGAAGATTTTCCCCCTAACTTGAATAGCTTAGTGGTAACTAATAAACCAAAGCCTGGGTGCCTGCTATGTTCTGCCCTGAGGACTTTTATCAATAATGAATGCTGCATACCTGGACACTTTGTTTGATTATGTAAGAATGCAAAGCAGGAAGGGTAAAGAACTCCTCTGTTTGGAAGTTTTAACTTTTTTCTCCTGCCTGTGACCAGCAGATGAAATGCAGCAGTGAGTACTTACACTGATGGAGAGGACGGGCCCGGTTTTGTACATACAGTATCTGTCTGTCCCAGCACAGATGTCTTTTACGTCTTCTCCACCTCCCTCCAACTCGAGCTCCTTGTGCATAAACAGCGCAAATGCTTTCATTCTGTTGGGGCTCCCACCAACGCAGACAAACTGTTGATAAAAATAAGAACCTGCCATAGTAATTAGGATAAGAATCAAGGGTCAGCTTTGAATGCTAATGTTTTCATTTTATTTTTTAGTTAATTTACTTAAGAGTGTGTGTAGATGTCATGGGTTATGTTTATGAATTAGCTAATTTGTATCACTAATCTGTAAATAAGGTAATCAGGCACAAAGTTTTATGTACTGAATTAGTAAAGCAAAGCACAAAATCAAAGTGCGTGTTGATATTGTTTGTGGAGGCATTTCCTGTTGTGTTTTTTTTTTTTAAGACAGAGTCTTGCTCTGTCACCCCAAGTAGAGTATAATGACATCATCATAGTTCACTGCAAACTGCAAACCCAAGTGACCCTCCTGTCTCAGCCTCCCAAGTAGCTGGGACTACAGGCAAACACCATGATCTCTTGCTAATTTTTCTAGTTTTAGTAGAGATGGATCTTGCTCCTCCTCAGGGGATCTCAAACTCCTGAGCTCAAGCGGTCCTCCTGCCTTGGCTCCTGGTGTATTTCGTTCATGGTGAACACCAACCAGCATCTTAAGTTGATATCGACAGCCTAGCATTGGGCATGACATGATTATGTTTAGGATGTACAAAGTTAGACAGTTAAATTTAGAAATTTGTCTTAGAAAATGTACTACATACCTAGGGTGACCAGATTTTAACATCAGTAAGGCA